GAGGAATAGTGTGGACCCAGGGGACCGAGAGGGAGCGGTGTGGATGCAGGTGTGTGTGTGTGAGAGGGGGGATGGGGGGTACAAGGGTGGGGTAGTGGAGAAAGTGGGTGTGTGTCACACTGGGGCCTGGCTGCCAGGGAGACTGGTCATCACTGACTGGGAGAGTGAGGACCGTCAGGTGGGCCTCTCCCAGTGGCCGATGCAGCGGAATGGAAGCAGGGCCCTCGCTGTAGGTTTAGCCAAACTGGGGCCGCCGAGAGGTGAACCCATGGCTGAGGGTGCTACTGAGAGGGCAGGGTGGGGTGGGGCTAACTCTGACTCCATTTTGTACTGTGGGGCAGGGCAGAGCTATCCTTCATTTTGTGTAACTGGACCCTAGCCCTCACCCAACCAATCAGGGTCAGCCAAAGCAGTGACATCACCACCCCTATAAGACCCCTTGATCTGTTGAATCTCGTGCTCTTCCTCCATGCCGCTGTTGGTGTAAGTGGGACAGCATGGAACAGGCTTTCTGCTATTTCATCGGACTCGGCTCCCTGGTGGTCCTTGGGGACCATGAAATCTGGGTGTAACCCTTGGGGGCTCATCTGGAATCCCCAAGACCCTGAGGAACCCTGATCCGGAGAGCCTGACTGGCTGTGGTAAGTGTGTGTCTGTGTGCTTGTGTGAGCATTCTGGAGGGACGTGGAATCCCCTCATGTCAGTAATGCCCAAAGAGGTGTAGATGGACGCACTGCTGGAAGACCACGAACCGGGGATTCGGAAGATGTTCTGACCTCCCAAGAGGGCCCCTCACAGGCAGGAGAGACATGGAATCCTCTCCCAGGATGAGCCAGTCGCTTCCGCCGATTGGAGTGAGTCCGACTTCTGGTTTTTCTTGTAAGGAGTTGAAATGTTGATGTTGGGCACCCTCTTCTTGTTGGTTGTTGTGTTAGTGTAGAGGTCCAGAAGGGCCAATGGCAGACTTGTTGTTCTAGAGAGTGGCCAGCTTTCAATGTCGGATGGCCACCAGAGGCCACTGCTCGGCATGAGGCTGTCATTCGGTTTGGCTTCCTTGGAGTTGGAAGACTGTTCTTAGGGGCCCTCTGTCTGTTTCTGTGTTCCCTGTTTGTATGTTTGTATAAGTAAGGGTTTGAGTTTGTTCTTATTTGTAAATTTGCTGACTCTTTCCCCCAGAGGAGGCAGGAGGTAGGGAGGGAAGAAGAGGCCTCATACTCGCCATCTTTTAGGAATCGGGGACTTCTGTACTCATGTAAGGTGGAAAGGCCAGATTACAAACGAGTGTGCATAGTTTTTGAGCTGGACTTAACTCTTTTCTGTGTACAGAATAAAACCCTGAACTGTTTTTTAGCTTTAAGGATGGTGGAGATGAACTGGGAGATAAATTAAAGCTAGCTTCCCAAGACATTTTTTGAAATTTTCTGCCCTGAGGCAAGTAACCAGCAGCAAGTAGGTAGCAAGTTTACATATGAATAGCTAAGGGTTTGCCTCTTGATTCCCCCCAGCTTTGGGTAGCAAGTTCTGCCTTCAGCCATCTTTAAAGAATGTGTTCATTTTCATTTGAATGGCTACATCTTTGCTGGCCAAGGGACAAGTTTACATGTGAATAGCTACAAGTTTGCTTCTCAGTTTCCCCAGGGGGGGGAAAAACAAGGTTTAAAGTTAATTATTGGATTTTGGAATTTGTTCTTGAAAACATAAAGGTTTATTAATGGGGAGTTGCTGGATGTTTGACTTGTGAGCTCTGAAGGTTTTGGGATTCAAATTGAATTGGGAGAAGTTATATTATTGTGGTAGAGTAAATAATTAAGAATTCAAGATATATTACTTGTTTGGTCTGATTTTAAAAAGAAAGAAATAAACCTTCAATTTTTTAAGGCTAAGTGCTCTGAATTAATTTGAAGGTATGAAATTGTAACAATTGTGGTCCAAAAGGTTAAAAGCAAGGACCAAATTCTAAAGTTAACTACTGTTTGTCTCAATTGGCCATTTAAGTTTGATGTGAGTAATGATTACAGTACATTGTAAAATCTTTAGAAGAAAAGGAAATACTCTCAGGCAGAGGGGCTTTTCAGAAAGATCAGGAGTCTGAGTGCAATGTAGGGGTCACCCATTCCCCTACTAGCAGGAGGCAAGCGCCTTTTCCAGTGGGAACTGAGAGTGGACTCCCAGTGGGAAAACGCCTTGGTGGGAGCACCCGGCGTCCATCCCCTCCAGGGGTTGTTTTGAGCAGCGGTGGCAGGGACAAGGAGAGAAATTCCCTTGTGACCCTCTGCACCTCAAGGAGACCCAAGAACCCCCGGCGACTGCTTGGACACTTTTCACTGAGTTCTGTTAGGGCGCTTAGAGGCACAGTTGGAAGTCCCCCCATTCCCTCTTTTCAGGCTTATTAGAAACTGAGATCTGTATCTGTAGGAAAAATGTGGCATTTTAAATTTCAAGCGGCTGGAGGCCTGGGAACAGGGTGCTGGACCTACTCCCTCCTCCCTCTGCCTTTTAAGGGTTGAAAGGAAGAAAAGGCCAGCAACTAATAGGAAGGAATTAGTATGCTCATTGTAGGAAGCAGGGTAACCTTACAAGTGAAAGACAAACCTGTTAGTTTCCTGGTGGACACGGGCAGCCTATTCAGTCTTGACAGAGCCGATGTGACCCGTACATTAGTTGAGGGAGCCAGCAGACAAACTGCCTGTTTTCCTTGAACATCAAGGACTCTGGACCTCGGAAGGAGCATGTACTACGGGAATGCAGCTGCTGAACTGGACCGAAGTGGAACAATGGGCCTTTGAGGAGCTAAAAAAGGCTCTCGTCTCAGCACCTGCCCTAGCCTTGCCAGATATTGTGAAGCCCTTCCACCTCTACGTGAGAGGTAAGGGGCATTGCCAAAGGGGTTCTCACTCAAACTCTAGGTCCCTGGAAGAGACCTGTTAAGGAACTAGACCTGTGGCAGCAAAATGGCCAGCGTGCCTCCAGGCAGTGGCCACCACAGCAGTAGTCACCCTAGACCACATCTGAAGGAGGCAGATAAGCAGACTCTGGGCCAAGAGCTATCCCTGACAACATCCCAGACACTGGCCATCAACCCTGCCAGCCTGCTTCCAGATGATGATCCAGAGGAGCCCATTCATGACTGCACAGAGGTAACAATTGCAGTACTGATGCAGAGTCAACCTGGACCACACCATTTGGGAACAGTTCCTGAACTTTTGGCCTTAATCCAGGCCCTTTGATAGGGACACTGTGCCATCCACAGGGAAAGAGGGTTACCAACTGCAGCCAGAAAGGAGGAATTGGCTGAACACAAACAATCAAAGGACCAGATGGTTGGTGGACCCTCCAGATGACAGACTGTTGGTCCCAGAGGCTCTAGGTCAGACGTTAGTTGCCCAGTGTCACCAGGTTACCCACTTAGGTGTCACCAAGACTTCTGAACTTCTGTGAGGCAGATACTACCAAGCTTAGATAAGGTAATTAAAAGCATAGTCACTATAAGTACTGTCTGTGCACAGGTAAATGCTAAGCAAGGTAAGGGGGTCCCCTTGGGAATTCGTGTCCCAGGGAACTTCCCCAGGAGAGCATTGGTAGGTGGATTTCAGAGATTAAGCCACCAGCATTATGGTCTAGTTTTTGTAGACACTTCAGATTAGGTTGAAGTATACCCCACTAGGACAGAAAGTGCCTCTATAGTAGTCAAGAGATTACTCCAGGAGATTATACCTAGATTCGGGCTGCCAATAGTCATAGGATCAGATAACAGCCCAGCCTTTGTAGCCAAGGTATCTCAAAGTATAGCTCAAGCCTTAGGACAGGCATGAGCAGGACTCTGAAAAGGAGTTTAACTAAATGTGTCCTAGAACTGGTGAAAATTGGACCAACCCCCTGCCCTTCGCCCTCTTATGGGCCAAGTGTACCCCTTACTGGGACAGGTTCCCCTCTTTTTGGGATCATGTATGGTAAACATCCCTCCATCCTTCCCAGGGTCAGGGAGGAACTGAAAGCTGGTATTCATAACCATTCCCTTGCTCAAGTCCTTATAGGCTCTGAAGTTTGCTAGTTCCAGATGCACTGCCAGTGCCTACCACAGACCCTGTAGCCTGGGAACTCAGTGTGGGTAAAGAAATTCACTGCCCAAGGACTCAAAGGGATGCTACACTGTTATCTGAGCATGCCCACGGCTGTTGAAGTAGATGGCACCCAGACCTGACTGCATGACTCCCAGCTCCTGCACCAGAAAAATGGCCTGGATCCTGGCAACTAGCGGCCTCCCCTGTGAGATCCCCAGCCTGGGCTCCACGCAAGCCAGGAGGAGACTTGATGCCTGTAGGAAGGGAACTGGACTTCAGTGAGGACAGTACTGATGGAAACTGTGGTACTGGGGGTCTTGGCAACTGTAAGGACGTTTTTACTAGCCAGTGAAAAAGTCCAGAGCTAAGTAAGGCTAGATAACAGAACAGCGAATGCCCTTAAAGGAAGTGGGCTGAGTCAATTATTTGACTCATACACATAGAACAAGGGGGGAATGAGAGGGCAGGGCAGGGTGGGGCTAACTCCTGACTCCATTTTATACTGTGGGGCAGGGTGGAGCTCTGATCCATTTTGTGTAACTGGACCCTAGCCCTCACCCAACCAATCAGGGTCAGCCAAAGCAGTGACATCACCACCCCTATAAAACCTCTTGATCTGTTGAAGCTGGGGCTCTTCCACCACACCGCTGCCGTGAGCCCATGCTAGCATGGAACAGGCTTTCTGCTATTGTATCAGACTCAGCTCTCTGGTGGTCCTTGAGGATCACCAAATCTGGGTGTAACACTGCCTTGGGGGTGCTCTGAGGCCTCCCACAGCCCGGGTCCAGGCCGAGGACTCCCGCAGGCAGGCAGCACCAGCACCACAGTGACCAGAGCGGAAACCAGCGCTTTATTTGCTGTCTCCCCCCACCCCCTGGCAGGCAGGTGCAGTGGTTGGCAGAGCCCCCAGGGCGGAATGCCCCCCTGCCCTGGAAGAAGCTACAGTTCCTCCTTCACTCCGGGCTTCTTCTCCAGTCTGGGTGGTTCCTCTGGCTTTTCTTCCAGCTCCTCCTCCTCTTCCACCTCCTTCTCGTCATCATCGTCATCCTCCTCCTCCTCCTCCTCCTGCTCCTCGTCCTCCCCCTCGATCTCTGCAGTTTCCTTCTGCCCTGTGGGCTCTTCCAGCTTGGTCCCACTCTCCAGCTCAGGAAACTCTTCCTCGGTGAATGCCTCCTCTTCTGTGGCCTCATTTTGCTCAGCAGACATTAGCTATTGGAGGAAGGGAGGGGTGAGGGAGGAGGGAATAAAGAAATAAAGAGGCAGATTGCAGGTGGTGGTTGTGATGGTAAGGGAAAACCCCATTTTCCTGGAGAACCTAGTGGGCCTGAAGCCCATTGTGGCTGCAGGAGGGGCTTGTCTGGGGGAGGGGCTTGTCTGGGGGAGGGGCTTGTCTGGGGGAGGGGCTTTGTTGGGGAGGGGCTTGTCTGGGGGAGGGGCTTGTCTGGGGGAGGGGCTTGTCTGGGGGAGTGGCTTGGCTGGGGGAGGGGCTTGTCTGGGGTGTGGCTTGGCTGGGGGAGTGGCTTGGCTGGGGGAGTGCCCGCAGGTGGCTTTGTGGACAGGAGCCATCCTTCCTCCAGGTTCAGTCGCTGGGATATGGCTGCCCCTTGCTGAGCTCTGGGATGGAGCCTGTTGCCAGAACATGTGCTGTGGCTGGTAAGAATCAGGGCTTGCTCAGCAGACGGTATGGGGGAAGCAGCTGCTGGAGGGGAGGTCAGCATGGAAGAAAGAGGTGGAGACAGACCAGATGAGTGACCGCCAGGCGGGACTCTGCCAGGTGTGGGGGACAACCCTCTGTGGTTTAAGCCAAAGAGCAGTCTCTGGCTTAGAGCCTAACCAGAGGTACGGCACCTTCCGGAGGATCCTCACCAGTGTGAGTGATGTCATCCTAGCTCTGATGACATCAGGAGAAGGATGTCATCAGAGCCAGGATCCCACTGCGACATCTGGTCACCTGAAGGACAGGGGGCTGGGGCGCAGCCTGGAGCCTGTGCAACCTCAGAGCCTCTGTGGCCCACCCCTCCCCCCCCCCAGGTCTCTAAGTCTGCCATCGGCTCCTCGGCTACCTGCCTGCCTATTTACCCTCTAGCCCAGGGGCACACGCTTCCCCAGCCCATTGAGCTCCTGTTCTGGAAGAGGTAAGAATCCAGTGCTGTTCACCTACCTCGTCTCCCTCCTCAGTTCTGGTCTGGATCTGGCTGTCCAGGAAGTCAGAGAAGCCCTGCAGGGTGTGTTCCCCTGTGTACAGCACCGCCTGGGGAGAAGGCGGACAGTCAGGGATGGCCGCATGGAGGAACAGGTGGAATTCCCAACTGCTGCATGCCAGGGGCCACCAGGGCTCCAAGTAACGACAAAACCCTCAGCGGCAGGCCGGGCCACCTGCCGGGCCCCAGGCTCCTCTCGGCGCCGTGTTCTGGCTGCGCCCTGACTCCCTTCCCTGCTGCAGCGTGGCGGGCTGCGGGCTGGGGACCGCGGGCCGCGGGCTGCGGGCTGCGGGCAGACTGAGTGGTCAGCTCCGCTTTGGCTATTACCGTTATGTCCACGGGAGGAGAAACAGCTCCCAGTTCACAAAACCTCCGCACGCTCTGCTCAGCATCGCACTTCCTCCCTGCGCCTTCAGTGAGAGTGGCTGCTCCCTGCCTGCCCGCCCCGCCCCGGCTAAACAATGCCAGCCTCCGGTCTGGAGAGAGCAGCCTGGACCCAGCTCACCCCACCTCCCCGAGCTCCTGCTGCCCGGGGGCACCCTTCGTGGCTGAGGCCACCCTTATGCTTCCCACCCTCGCTTCCCCGGCTCCTCCTCATCTGACCCTCACTCTTCCTCAAGACCGTGTCTGCTTCATCTCTCCCAGCCGCCTCTGTCTGGGACCAGCCTCTGCACCCCAACCCCCGGCCTCCGCACCCCGGCCTCTGCACCCCATGGCTGCGGAGGTGGGTCCAGCCTGACCTCCCCCTCGCTCAGTCACTCTCCTGGGCGCGGGCACCTGGCTGTCATCCTCTGATTGACACCTGCCGCGGGCCCCGCAGCGTGGAGAGTGTGTTCCTTCCACAGGGATGCCATCCGCTGACTAACACCGAGTGTCTAAGGCGGGACTGCTCTCACCACGCATCCTCCTCCCAGCAGCCGCACCCCAGCATTCACCTGGCCATCCCCCCGAGTCTGGGTGCCACATCCAAACCCCCATGTCCCCTTGGCCCGGGGCCTGGGCCAGGGCTAAGCGCAGGCTTAGGCTGGCAGTGACAGTGAGTGGGGCTCAGGGGGAGACACTGAGCAGGAGGGCACGCCGTGCCCAGAGCCGAGCGTGGGAATAGGAAGAACCGCATCATGAGTGACACGCGGGTCCCAGGCGGAGACCAGGGCCTCACCTGCTGCGAGTGGGCGGGGAAGAGCCGGAGGAAGGGGTGCCGGTCCAGGGGTGCCAGCGGGATGTCGTTGGCCGTGACGTCGATCATGGCGATGGTGACGGTGGAGTGGTTGCGGTACCTCACGCCCAGCTCCTCCCACGCCGGGAGCAGCCCTCTGCTCTGGCGGCACCACGGCGCGTCTGCAAGGCAAGGCCAAGCTGAGCCACAGCGCCCGCCCCAAGCTCCCGCCGGGGCCTAGCAAGGCTCTGGGCCCTGAAACCGCACCCCTCCATTTCAATACACCCAGGCCATTACCCCCGCAGGCTCTCTCGGTGTCTGAGACCGCCCTGGGCGGCGCGGAGGCGGACTGGGAGGTTCGGGTGCCCAGCGGTGAGGGAGGACACTGGGAAGGTGTGTCTGGGCCCCACCCCGCAGAGCACTTACAGAACAGCACGAACACGTCCCGCTCCCAGTCCAAGACCACGGCGTCGAAGGTCTTCCCGACCAGCCGCTGCACTGGCCCCTGGTCCCAGTGTGGCGGGACCTCTTCGCTGGGCTCATGTTTCTAGGAAGCACCTTGAGAGGTCAGAAGCCTCCAGAGAAGGTTGGCAATCCCTCTCCCCCGCCCCTCGCCCCCCACTCCCTGCCCTGCCTGCACACCAGGGAACATGTGCTCTGGTTCTTACAAGACCTGGGAAAGCATGTGTTTTTACTTTAAAATTTTACTCCTTTAAAGTAACATTCATATAGCAGAATTTCTGAATGAACTGTTTTAATCAGTTTATTTTAAATGCCTACATATTATAATGTTGTGCAACCACCACCACTAATTCCAAAGCATTCCCGTTCATCCATCGTGAGCTTGGTGTCAGGCTGGGCTGACCTGGCAAATGGGGGTCAGAGGTGAGGAGGTGGCAGGCTCCAAACGGTTCGAGAAGCAGTTTGTTCAGCACCAAATCCTTTTCCCATTAGGAATAGTGTAACTCATCCTTCCCAGACACCAAATGGCTCCGTTTTAACCTTCTTCACACACAGCACATGTCTACTGTGCTGTTTGATCTGCGAACAAGCGCTTCCCGCTTTACCTGCACCGAACACCCCTCCCAGCCTCACAGTCACGTTCTGACCGCTGCGGTGTCTCGGTCAGCAAGTGGCATCTCCGCTCGCTCACAGACCGCTGCCTCCAACACGCTGCAGGCTCCCTGCTCTCCCTCTGTCCAAATCAACCTCCTCAGCTGCCTGGCCATGCTGCTCCCACACCCTCAGCCACATCAGCGCTCTGGACGCCTCTATGTTTAAAATTGTGCCAATGGTTGAAGTTTGGTTCAACAACAGAGACATTTTTCCTGTGAACAATTTGGAATAGTTCGAGATGGGAGACTCGAAGAACAAGGTTTAACTATGCATGATTCTTAGAAACCTTAGCTGAGAGCTATTTTCATGTCCTCAATATCTTGAGCTTGTTCCCCCCATGAAATATTAGCTGTCCCCCATTATATGAGAGTCAAAGCCAAGATTTACACAGCCCGTTCTTCACACCCGGCCTGCAGCTCCGGAGCCAGCTCAGGCCTGCGCGTTGCTGCTCTGGATTTCCCTCAGAACCAGCTGGGGCCGCACCCTCACTTTCCCGGGCCTGCACCACACACTCTCGCACTTGGTGCTGTTCCTTGTCCCTATCAGCGTGACTCCGCAGGCTTCTTGTTCTGGGATTTGATCAATGTGTCTCTGCCACACAGGACAGGGTGTCGCGGGCACTTCTTCCTTCACCACTGAGTGCCCACTGCTGGGCAGATAGGACCTCAGTGGGTAGCCTGTGAGTGAGGGAAGGAAAGAACAGCGGGCTCTGGCTTCTCTTTGGAGGAAGTGGTGAGAGTCGGGGTGGAGGGAGGTCTGCAATGAAGAGCGAAAGCCCCGAGGGTGGAAGGGGTGCTCAGAGAGCAGCAGCACCTGGGGCCGGAGCAGATCAGCCACAGCCATGGGGCCGGAGGACCTGGGAGGGGGAGGGCATCCTGAAGGCAGGAGGAGGAGCAGACGTGATGGCAGAGGCACGGAGGACACCAGCCAGGACTATGCGCCTAAGTAAAGAGCTGTCACGTGAGGACCGCAGGGAAGGGTGGTGTGGGGACAGACAAGGCCACGGACAGAAGCCGCAGAGCGAAGGCCACCGTGCATGCTGCTGTGCCTGGAAAGTGGCTCGGAATTTGCTCAAAGAATCCACCAACGCTCTCAAGAGTGTTCCCGCTGAGAAAACAAACTGCGGCCCCCTGTTCTGCAGGCAGCAGGGCGGGCGCTAAGGGACAGCAGGTGCTAAGGTGCAGAGGGCAGCAGGGCGGGCGCTAAGGGGCAGAGGGCAGCAGGCACTAAGGGGCAGAGGGGAGCAGGTGCTAAGGGGCAGAGGGGAGCAGGCGCTAAGGGGGCGGCAGGGAGCGGGGCTGCAGCAGGTGCTGCACATCCTCGGGCAGCCTCTCAGCCTGTCTTTCTGCAAAATGGCCTCCTCTGAGCCTTGAGGCTGAACCCTGGTACTGACTGCAGTCCAGCCCCTCCCATCGCCAAGCAGCCTCCCCTGAGGCCAATGCGGGGGAGAGGGGGGGGTCTGGAAGGAGGACTCTCTCTGGAAGGACCAGGCTCTGAGGGTCCTTGCTGAAGGCAGCAGCTGCTGCCTTGACTTTTCCAAACAAGCCGGAGCTCCGGGGTGTTTTGCTGGAATCTCTGTTTAGTCTTAAAGACCTGACCTTGACCCTGCATATGCTTTCCCTGCTGAGTGTACCCAGGGGTGAATCTGAGTTCAGCTGTTGTTACAGTAAAAGCCAATGAGGCAGGCGAACAGGATTGCTCTTATGACCAAAGTAAGAGTCCCCGGCCCCTCTTACACAGAGACCTGTGTGGAGCGACCTGTCCGTCCGTCGCTCAGGGGCTGCTGTGAGCCTGGCAGGCAAGGACACCTCTTACACCAGAATCCGAACGAGGTGCCAGCCCTGGAAGGCCAGCATTTCAGTGGTCACCTTGCAAAGGAAACGCCGTCACTTTAAGTGTAAAGCACTAACAGTGGAACTGGAGGTCAGGACAGTGACAATTGGACAGGTCAGAGGTAGGACGCAGGTATTTCCCACACTGAAGCCTGAGATACCTTTCTTCTCCAGCAGAATTAGATTTTAAAAAGTGACTTTGAGTTCTGTGAGAGCGAACTCACCTTGGCGTTTCTGGCCAGGTAGCTGCGCCCGAATGTCTTGAGGTTTTGGGAGGTGATGCTCTCAAAAGGCATTTTGTACCTCGCGTCAGAGCTTAGGTTCAGGATTTGGACGGATGGGATATTGACCGCTGTGACCCGGAAGTATTCGAAGATACGTCCATTTCTGGGTTCGTCTGCATCCACCAGGATGAAGAGGATCTGCCAGATGGGAAGGATGTGAGACAGGAGAGGGTTAGGGAAGGGGTCCATGGAGAGGAATGGATAGTGACGGGCAGGACCACTCCAGCTGCCGGATTGTCCACCAGACTGCAGACTGCTACAGGGGCGGGTGGGGGGGCACCGGGCCATCTTTGACACCGTGAAACTGACACAGTGCAGGGCACAGGGGCAGGTGGCCACTTAGGAAAAGCGCAGGAGACAGAAGCTGAGGAAAGTCCAGTTAGAACGTGGGGTGAACTGAAAAAGAAGCTGTAGACGGAGACTCGCTGGATGAGGCTCGAGAGACGGGGGATTTCCCCATTTGAGGCCCCTCCCCAGGGGGTTTATACGTGCTTATAATAAACTCCCATGCTTTTGCTTAAAATCCTTCAGTCTGAGAATGTATTCTTTAGACTTCATGAGACAAGAACCTGCAATTAGCGAGTCCCAGCTTGCCATCCGGGGTATTAGACCCCAACCACACCTGTCCGAAGCACCATGTTTCCAGATCTTGGCTGCTGTAAATAACCCTGCAATGAACACAGGGTGCATGTATTCTTTCAAATTAGTGTTTTGGTTCTTTAGATAAATTCCCAGGAGTGGAATCGCTGGGCCATAGGCAGTTTCCTTTTTAATGTTTTGAGGAAACTCCATACTGCTTCCCACAGTGGCTGCACCAGTCGGCACTCCCACAACTGTGCACTGGAGTGTCATGAAGGGGTATTGAAGGTCATGGAGTGGGGAAGGAACTGAGTCCCTCACCGAGGAAGAGAAGTGGGGGGCAGCAGAGGGAGGGCACAATGCAGGGTCCATGGTGCCGGAGGTCTCCTGAGGCCCCTTCCACCGGGCAGGGCAGCCGGCACCTGGGCTGCACCCCATCCACATGCGTAGGTCATCCTGAGCCTCATCCCGGGCCCTGAGCAAACAGTACGCCCCCTCTGTGCCTCGGCTTCCTCGTCTGTGCCACAGAGACTCAGAGCTTGCACCTCAAGGGCTGCAGTGAGAACTAGCCGGGACGATGTGTGTGACCACTGTGCTCAGTGACTGGGAGGGAGAAAATGCTCAACACGTCAACACGTCAGCACTCTAAATCCTGTCGTGGCCAGGACATCCGTGACGTCACTCATTCAGTCAACAATACCCGTGGAACTCCTGTCGTGGGGAAGCAAACTGGCAAATCCAGAGCGATCGCCTCACACCCGCCACAGCCACGCGAAGGCCAGAAATGCGTTCCGGCAGCATGGCCGTGCCCAGAGCCTCTTCGGGGACTGATGGGCGCAATGGAGCCCGAACCACTAAACAGGTTTGCGGCTTGGACGCTTCACTCCGTGTTCTTTTGGAATTACAGAGTTTTTCATTGTTTTGTTTAAATTTCAGTTGCTTTCTTAAAAAAAAAAAATGCCTCTTGTAAAAATAGAGAGAAAAGGGAAGCAAGTCATGCCCTGGTCCAGGTGGGGAAACCGCAGCAGGACAGGCATGGTGTTCGGAAAACAGACTGGGTTCTAACGGTGAGGACGGCCACAGCAATAATGAACGCCACTCATTGTGCATCTGCCCATTGCTTTACATGAAGCACCTCTAACTCTCACCACCAAGCTCCCTGTGCACCAGAGGTGACAGGCGGGGAGCTTAAGGAACTCACTAGACAAAACCTGCTGGAAACAGGAGGAGAATTTAACCTCAGTGTGTGAAATGCCTGAGCATGGAAATGTAATCACGTGCCAGACACTGTGCTGCTTCGCGCTGCCGGCTTCCGAGGGACACTCCCAGAGAATCGCCGTGGAGCCGTCAGTCCGCACAGCACACTGAGCGCAGGTGAGAGGAGGAGCGCAGGTGAGAGGAGGAGCACAGGTGAGAGGAGGAGCGCAGGTGAGAGGAGGAGCGCAGGTGAGAGGAGGAGCACAGGTGAGAGAAGGAGCGCAGGTGAGAGGAGAAGCGCAGGTGAGAGAAGGTTGGCAGGTTTGGAAGAGGCACGGGGAGGCTCAGACACGGGAAGTTCCTGAGAGGGAACTTAGAGCACTGCAGGCCACTTCCAGAAGCAAGGAAATGTCAAGTAAGCAATCTAACTTTGCACCTAAAAGAACAGAGAAAGAACTACAGGACAGGCCATGCATAAGAAGGAAGGAAATAAAGATCAGAGAAGAAATAAATGATAAGACAGACTAAAAGTAAATAATACCAAAAAATCAATGAAACCAAGAGCTTGTTCTTTCAAAGTCAAATAAGGTTGGTTGACCTTTCAACAGACTCATCAAAAAACAAAGAGAACCTAAAAAAAGTAAAATCAGAAATGAAAGGGGTGACGTGCACTGTTGAGGGAGTGCCGACTGGTGCAGCCACTGTGGGAAGCAGTATGGAGTTTCCTCAAAACATGGAAAAGCGAACTGCCTATGGCCCAGCGATTCCCCTCCTGGGAATTTATCTAAAGAAACTGGAAACACTAATTTGAAAGAATGTATGCACCCTGTGTTCATTGCAGGGTTATTTACAGCAGCCAAGATCTGAAAACAGCCCAGTGCCCACCAGGAGGTGAGTGGATAGAACAGCTGTGGGACATTCACACAGTGGAACACTCCTCGCTGTGGGACATTCACACGGTGGAACACTCCTCGCTGTGGGACATTCACACGGTGGAACACTCCTCGCTGTGGGACATTCACAGGGCAGAACACTCCTCGTGGTGGGACATTCACACGGTGGAACACTCCTCGCTGTGGGACATTCACACGGTGGAACACTCCTCGCTGTGGGACATTCACACCGTGGAACACTCCTCGTGGTGGGACATTCACACGGTGGAACACTCCTCGCTGTGGGACATTCACACGGTGGAACACTCCTCGCTGTGGAACATTCACACCATGGAACACTCCTCGCTGTGGGACATTCACACGGTGGAACACTCCTCGCTGTGGGACATTCACACGGTGGAACACTCCTCGCTGTGGGACATTCACAGGGCAGAACACTCCTCGCTGTGGGACATTCACACGGTGGAACACTCCTCGCTGTGGAACATTCACACCATGGAACACTCCTCGTGGTGGGACATTCACACGGTGGAACACTCCTCGCTGTGGGACATTCACACGGTGGAACACTCCTCGCTGTGGGACATTCACACGGTGGAACACTCCTCGCTGTGTAAGAGGAAGTCTCACCCTTTGCGACAGCATGGATGCACCCGGAGAGCATATGCAAGTGAAAAAGCAACAGAGAAAGACAAGCACCGCATGACCTCACTCATACTGGAATATATGAGCAAACTGAGCTAACAAGCAAAACAGAGACAGACTCATAGAGAGCAGGCAGACAGCCCTGGTGGAGTGTGTGTGTGTGTGTGTGTGTGTGTGTGTGTGTGTGTGTGTGTTGGAGGGGGTGGGGTGGAGAGGGGTGAAGAGGGATTGAGTAAATATAGAAAGAGAGAGAGAACTCATGGACAGGGACAGTAGTGTGGTGATTGCAGAGGTGGGGTGGGTGGAGGTGGAATAGGGCATAAAGGAGATAAAGGCGATGAAAAAAAATACAATGAAAAAACAAATTATTAAGAAAAGAAAGAGCAAAGAAACAACTGACATTATATAAATACAAAAGACTGTAAAAAAATATTGCAAACAACTATATGCCAACAAATGGGACAACCAGGGTCAAATGAACAAATTCATACAGACATACAATCTTCCAAAATTCAATCAAGAATATCAGAAAACTTTAATAGACCAATAACAACTAATGATATTTAAGCAGCAAGAAAAAAAAAAAAAAAAAAAGCAAACAGACGTCCTGGACCAGTCTGCTTCACAGATGAATTTAACCAAACATTCAAAGACAAACTAATACCTATCCTCCTCAAACGATTCCAAAGAAATTAGAGAAGGGTCCTGGCCAACATGGCTCAGTAGTCAGAAAGTCAGGCCTAAAGGATCTCAGGTTCTGTTCCCAGTCAAAAGCATTTAGCTGGGTGTGAGTTCAAGGGCATGCATGTGGGAGGCAACCAATCGATGTCTTTTTCTCACATCAATGTTCTCTCTCTCCTCTCCCTCTCTTCCACTCTCTCTAAAAATCAATGAAAAAAATAGCTTTGTGTGAGGATTAACTAGCAAATAAATAAATAAAATAAAGGAAGGAAGGAAGGAAGGAAGGAAGGAAGGAAGGAAGGAAGGAAGGAAGGAAGGAAGGAAGGAAGGAAGAAAGGAAGGAAGGAAGATGACTTCCATGCTGTATTTACAAGGCCAGCATTATCCTAATTCCAAGACCAAATAAAAACACTACAGAGAAAGAAAATTACAGGCCAATATCCCTGATGAACACAGATGCTAAAATCCTCAACAAAATATTAGAAAACAGAATCCAGAAAAATATTAAAAGATCATACATGCCCTGGCTGGTTTGGCTCAGTAAATAGAGCGTTGGCCTGCAGACTGAAGGGTCCCAGGTTCGATTCCAGCCAAGGGCACATGCCCGGATTGTGGGCTCGATCCCCAGTAGGGGGTGTGCAGAAGGCAGCCGATCAATGATTCTCTCTCATCATTGATGTTTCTAACTCTCTATCCCTCTCCCTTCCTCTCTGAAATCAATAAAGAAATGTTTAAAAAAGAAAAAAAGATCATACAACATGATCAAGTGGGACTTATTCTAGGGATGCAAAGCTATTATAATGCCTTCAAATCAATAAATGTGATACATCACATAAACAACATGAAAGATGAAAATCACATGATCATATCAATAGTTGCAGAAAAAGCATTCAATAAATACAGCACCCATTTATGATTAAAGACTTTCACCAAATTGAGAATAAAGAGACCGTATTTCAACATAAAGATCATATATGAAAGATTACAGCCAACATCATAGTCAAGGGGCAAAAATGAAAAGTATTTCCCTTAAGATCAGGAACAAAACAACGATGTCTGCTTTCACCACTGTTATTCAGCACAGTACTGTTATTCATCACAGTACTGGAAGTGCTAGCCACAGCAATCAGACAAGAAGAAGAAATAAAAGGCATCCAAATTAGAAAGGAAAAAGTAAAACTGTCAATTGTTAGGTCGAAGCCCGGACATAGACCGGCCCCACAGGAGGGGAAGTCCAGAGCCGATGCATGCAGCCAGAAGGTAGATGGTGATGCAGGTAATTGGCGCCTATCTGAATCCTGGCCCAAGGAGGAAATTCCATATGGCTCATGCCCTTTGCCCTCCCCTGACTAAACCACTGTATAAAGGAAGTACTGATACTCTCTTTTGGTGTGAACTTCCCTGGCCCATCCTCAGACCAGCGAATTTCTCCCGGGAGCACAAGATTAAAACCTTCCTCTTTAAACCGGCCAGACTCTCTGTCTTTTATTTCCTGCATCTCGAACTTCTCATAACTGTTCACAGATGATATGATGTTATACATAGAAAACCCTAGAGACTCCACCAAAAAACTATCAGATCTAATAAATGAATTTGGCAAAGTATCAGGATACAAAATCAATATCCCAAAATCAATTGCATTTCTATACACCAATAATGAACTATCAGAAAGAGAAACTAAGAAAATAATCCCATTTATGATTGCAACAAAAAATATTAAGGTAACTAGGAATAAATTTAATCAAGTATGTAAATAACTTGGACTTGGGAAAGTATAGAACATTGAAGAAACTGAGGAATACACAAATAAGTGGAATCATATACCATGTTTATGGATTGGAATCATTAACATCATTAAAATGTCCATACTACTCAAAGTGATCTATAAAATCAACACAAACCTTATTAAAATACCAATGGCATATTTCACAGATCTAGAACAAATATTCCATAAATTTATAAGGAACCTAAAAAGATCCCAAATAGCTACAACAACCTTGAGATAGAAGTACAAAGTTGGAGAAATCACAATACCAGATATCAAATTATACTAAAAACTACCGAAATCAAAACAGCCCAGACTGGCACAAGAACAGGCATATATAATCAACCCATTCCTCTATAGTCAATTAATATTACATAAAGGGATCAAGTGCATACAATGGAGTAAAGACAGTCTGTTCAATAAATGGTGTTGGGAAAATTGGACAAATACATGCAAAAAAAAAAAAAGAAAGAAAGAAAGAAAGAAAGAAAGAAAGAAAGAAAGAAAGAAAGAAAGAAAGAAATTAGACCACCAACTTATACCATACACAAGAATGAACTGGAAAAGGAGAAAATCCCAGAAGACATAGTCAGTAAAATCTCAAACATCTCTCATAGAAATGTTTTTTGTTCATATATCTCCTCTGCTGAGGGGAACAAAGGAAAAAATGAACAAATGGGACTACATCAAACTAAAAAACTTCTTCACAGCAAAAAAAAACCATCAACACAGTGAAAAGAGAATCCACTGTAGGGGAGAAAATGTTCACCAATGACATATCTGATAAAGGGTTAATATCAAAAAAATATAAAAACTTACCCAATTCAACACTAGGAAGACAAACAATACCATTAAAAATGGGCAAAATAGACACTTCTTCAAAGAGGATATATAGATGGCCCATAAACATGAATAAAATGCTCAGTGTCACTAATCACAGAGAGATGAAAATTAAAAGATGAAAATTGAAGTGACAATGATATATCACCTCACACCTGCCAGACGGCCACCATCAATAAATCAAACCATGCTGGCTAGGATGTGGAGAAAAGGGAACCCTAATTCACTATTGGTGGGAATTCAGACTGGTATAGAAACAGTACAGTTTCCTCAAAAAATTAAAAATGGAACTACTATTGGATTGGTGATCCAACTTCTGGAACTATATCCTAAGAATCCTGAAACACCAATCAGAACTAATGTATGTACCTCTATGTTCATAGCAGCATTATTTACAATAGCTAAGATCTGGAAACAGCCCAGTGTCGATTGGTAGATGAACTGATCAAACAATTGTGATACATTTACACAAGGACATATTACACAGTTTTAGAGAGGAAGGAACCCTTGGAGTTTTTAATGCTAAGTGAAATAAAACCGCAAATAGCTACAACTATTCGGGGTCAGAGAAAGAAAAATACCATATGATCTCACATATATGTGGAATCTAACATAATAAACTGATGAACAAAAGAGAACCAGAGGCATGGACACATGGAACAAACTGACAGATGTCAGGGAAGGAGTAGTGGGGGAGACAGGATGAAAGAAGGTGAAGAGAATAGCCAAAGAACATATATGCACACCCCAGGGACACAGACAGCAATGTGGCTACAGCCAGAGGGAGAGGGGGGTGAAATTGGGGAATAAGAGCAACAGGAAGTAGAAAGGGGGGACATTGTAATGTCAATAATAAGAAAAAGAAGATTAAAAATTAAATAGCAAAGAATTCATAGGACTGAAATGGAAAACAGTAAATTGGTATATAAATTAATATGCAACTTATTCTTGGCTTCATTTATAACCAGCAAGGCAAGTAAATGGCATCTGGGTCTTCATGTCTGGGATCATCATCCAGGAGCCCCAAGAAAGAATGGTGCCATAGAACCAAGATGGTGGTGTAGATCGACACCAGTACTCACACAACACAGAACAACCATTCAGAACTGCCTGAAAACTGCCTGAATGGAAATCCTACATTAGAGAAGTAAAGCATAAACTGTGCTGAGACTGGTAGGAGGGAAGAGGCACAGAGTGAGCTGGTCCAAAACTCACTTGTGGCACTTTTTTAATCGGGAGGGATATCTCCAAAGCCTCCTGTGAGGAGCAAGGGGTCCCAACACCACACCAGCCCCCCAGCCCAGGGTTCCAGTGTTGGAAAGAGAAGACTGTAACTTCAGGCTGTAAAAAACAGTGCGAATTGTGGCTGAGTGACATGGAGGCTGCTGGAGTCCCAGGTATTAAAGAGCCAGCACATGAACTGACAAGGTCCTGTCTCCTCTGACCTCCAGGGCCAGGTGGCAGCTTTGGGGGAATCCAGGGACATACAAGGAGGAACTGGATGGTCTGCCATTAAGGCAGGAACTAGGGGTGGCTTTCTCCCAGAGAGGGGTGCTCACAGGGGTCATTATTCCTGTGCTGATACCTCCCCCATTGCAGAGCTGACGGCACCATATCTGAATCTCCATCAGCATGATCCACACTGCTCGCTCCACCCTGGTGATTCCCTGAGATCCTGCCCCATCCAACTTGCAGCCCCATCCAAGTGGTTTGCAGCTGCTTTTCCATATGAGTGGCCTGTCCTGGCTCAGGCTTCAGACTTTGCTTAACTCTCTTAAACAAGTAGCAGCTGGTGTCAGTGTGCTCCATACCTATCAATAAGAGGCCCAAGACCTGGCACTAGCACCAGCCTGCCTTGCTTTACAGCTGGGACTCATCTGGACATTCTTTGGCCCAATATAAGTAGCAGCCATCTGCAGATCTCTCTGTAGCTCCTGCCCAGTGGCCCCAGGTAGTGGCTGACTTTGCCCAGGAGGACTCAAAGCCAATGCACCCAGTGAACTTCAGACCACACCAGATTACAACTCTACACAGCCACAGGGATACACTCAAGCCCCACTGAAGCAATTCCTGCCCCATAGGAGTGTCTCCTGCACAGCAGCTCTTCACTGTAGTTGCAGCTGATCCACACAGCCAATTGGCCTAGACACCAACAGCAATCAAGGCTCAAGTACAAGACTGTACGCCCAACCAAGCTAGAGTGCCCAGCTCAGGTGTCTGGGGAGGCTGAGCCACTGGGCCCTGCAGAACACCTACTACACAAGGCCACTCTGCCAATTCCAGAAGACAGAGCAGAAGAAGGAAATGGGGAAGGAGAAGAAGAAACAGATAAAAAATATGACAAGAAAATGGCAATAAATGCATATCTATCAAACATTGAATCTAAAAATCAAAATAAATGAAATGATCTAATGAATAAAATAAAACTAATGAATAAAATAGAATTAGCCTTAGCTGGTTTGGCTCAATGGGTAGAGCATAGGTCTGCAAACTGAAGGGGATCCTGGGTTTGATTCTGGCCAACGGCACACGTCCGGGTTATGGGCTCAACCCCCAGTTGGGGCCTTGTAGGAGGCAACCAATCAATGATTCTCTCTCATTATTGATGTTTCTATCTCTCTCTTCCCCTCCCCTCATCTCTGAAATCAATAAAACTACATTTTTGGGAGGAAATAGAATTAGATGCATGCAAACATGGAACAGATTGACAAATCTTGGAGGGAAGGGGTGGAGGAGGGACAGGAAGGGATTAGCCAAAGATTGTATGGGCACCTGGGCATTACCTGTGGATAGACAATGGGTGGAGGAGGCCTGGGTAGGGGGGAGCCATGTGGAGGGGGCAATGAGGGAAGAGGAGCATCTGTAATACTCTCAACAACAAAGGTTTTTTTTTTAATTAAAACAAAAGAGAAGGTGCCGCACAGACCTTGTAGTGGAACTCCTCCAAGGCCAGCTGGTAATGCTGCATTATCGCACCAAAGGACTTGCAGCTTTTGGAGGCAAAAAGCAGCATGTGGTTCTGGATGTGCAGTTGATAAATCAGGTCCTTACTCTGCATGACAAGGACACGGGTCATGCCCGCCCACCGAGGCCCGGCGGCCCTTCCGGGGAGCTCGCTCACTGACCTCGGTGCTGTACTCAATGACGAAGCCGGAGAGGTGCTGTCGGATGAGCTGGTTGAGGACAAGCTTGTTGGTGCTGTCGTTGATGAGCTCCTGGCGGCTCTCAATTCTCCCCTGGGACAAAAGGAAACACTAGCAGTGGCAGCTCCCATGATACAGGCTCTCAATAAACATAAACAGCACACTTTCCGGGGGGACTAAAGGAAGCCCCTGATGACAAAACAATCCAATGATCCAGGCACGGCAGCAGGAAGCCGCAGGCCATGGGTGTGTGGTGGTGTGGAAACCTCCGATCCACAAAGGCAAGGAGTGCAGTGGACAGCACCCCCGCTGCCCTGCTCGGAAATCCAGCAGTCAGTGCCATGCTGAATGGCCCTCCCACGGCTCCTGACCAATGACTGTGTCAGAGATACAAGGCAAACCCCTTTCTGGGACATGCAGGCGCTCTGCTAAGGGGCTTTGATAACTTCTAAGAACTCCCCTGTGGCCAGGGACTCTTCTTTCCTCCCTCCCTCCCTCCCTCCCTCCTTCCCTTCATCCCTCCCTTTCTCCCTTCGTCCCTCCCTCTTCCCTTTCTTTCTTCCTCCCTTCCTTCCTTCCTTCCTCCCGCCCTCCCTCCCTCCCTCCCTCCCTTCCTTCCTCCCTTCCTTCCTTCCTCTCTTCTTCTTTCTCCCTTCTTTCTTCCTTCGGGTCAGGCCTCCATCAGGTATTAAGGGTCTCGGTGCCTAATCTACGCATGTTTAATCTACACATGTTTAATCCTGCTTGATGACTTATTCTCAGAAGGACCTTGGTCAGCAGAGGGAACACTGTAATTCTCTGTAGCCCAGGATCGAAGTCTAGGTGTGGGGAAGGAGAATCAGTCATCTCCTAATATCTCTCCTTTTTTTTTTTTTTATCTCCTTCTCGTCTCTTCACCAATCCTACCCTCTAGTCCATACCTGTTCTCTGCACTCGTGAAAAAATTCCAATGGTCTTCTAATCTCTCCCCTCACTGTCCTCCAGTCCAGCCCACACTTCAGCCACAGTGAGTTGTTAGGACGCAAATCTGATTGTGTCGTTCTCTTGCTTAAACACTTCATAGGCCCTGTTGTCCTCTAGATAAAGTCCAGTCTTTTCTGGCCCTAAACTTATTCTAATGATGCTAACTAGACTCACTGAGGTCTCCTGTGTACCAGCCACCACTCTGAGCACGTCAGATGCCCTGACTCACTCAGTCCTCAGAACTCCTCCTCATCTGCACATGGTGGTCCTCCTGCTTCCATCGAGGAAACCGAGGCCGCAGTGAGGCGGCTTGCCCGAGGTCTCTAAGCTGGTGGAGGGAGCCCAGGTCCAGCACAGGCATCTGGTGCCAGGGCCATTGCCTTAACCATTGGATAGGCCAGATCTCTCCCCAAGGCACTCTCCAAGCTGGCTACTTGGCTTTGGCTTTGCCATAGGGTTTCTCTGCAGACATTTTATACTTCTATGTGGTCCGAATGTAGCAGTATTTATTTTCCTTGTTTCGGAGTTTCTGTCGTGCTTTATAAAGAACTTTACCACAAAGCAAATGCCCCTGTGGTATCTCCTAACCCTTCCACCGTCTCATTGTTATATTTTTTAATCAGGGATTAATCTGAAATCACTTTGGTGAAAGGAGTGATACATGAATTTAGCTTTAGTGTTTTGCTTTCAATGGCTAGTTATTGAACAACATCCATTTCCCTATTAACCTGAGATATCAGATATCAGAAATAGACCCAAATACATATCACCATATGTATTTGGGTCTATTTCTGGACTCTGTGTTGTCCCATTCAAGAAACACAAACCAAGTTATTTTAATCTCTGAATTAACACTTTTCAGTGATTTCCATGGGCTCATAGTCTTCTCTAAAGATCAGTCAGCTCTGGGTATGACTACCTACCTCCAGTGTGGCCTTAGGCAAGTAACCCAACCTCTCTGAGCCACACCTATGAGTAGCTTGGTTATTGTAAAGATTTGGCTTGGTAGGGGGAGGGAGTAGGTATGTTCAAGGAACCGGACCACAGTGGAACTTTGTGTGAAAACAGAAATGCTCTGTGACTCTAGCTGCCCAATGAAGTAGCCACTGTCCATGTGAAGCTAGTTGGATTGAGAAACTAACATCTTAATGTAAATAGTCACAAATGGTCAGCAGCCGCCATACTGGATAGCTCAGATCTAGACCCCAGAGGGGAAGGAGGAAGGTGTAATAGAGACTAGACTGTGGAAGGCCTTGTGGGTCTCTTTAAGGACTTGAGTCTTTTCCCTATAATAATAGGATTAATAATGGGAAGTCATTAATGGGCTAATAGGTGTGAATTTTCGAAAGGCTGCTCATCAGAGAACAAAAGAGACTGTGGTAGATCTGTTGGATGGATGTTGCATTGGGCTGTGGAAAATAATGGTCACTCCATCTGAAAGGAAGCAGTAGGAAAAAAATGGATAGATGCAAGGGATCCTTGGATTTAAAATCAGTAGGGTTGGAGTGATGACTTGGTTTTGCAGGATGGAGAAGAGGGAGGTGTAGAATGATGCCTGGCTGACTGGCTTTGCTCAGATGGGTAATGGGAGAGAGGGTGGTACCACTGGAGAGAGAAAAACCCCTGGAAGGGGACTCAGAGGGGAGATTAAGACTTGGCATGTTGAGACATCTGGTGATAAATGCAAAGGTCTGGAGAAAAGACACAACTGGCTGGAGTGTGGAGGCTTGTAAGCCACTGGGTGACTGAATAGTAACTGCTGATAGAGGTGGGTGAGGGTGGGTGGACCAGAAGGAAACACAAGGCAGAAGGTGAGACTTAATAACACATCCTTGTTGAAGAAAGGAGAATGAGCTTATAGGAGGAGGGCTACAAAAGTCAGAAAAAGTCAGAAAACTGATTTTGCAAAAGCCAGCTTGTCAGTGGCATTTAGCTCATAAGGGGCAGAATCAGAATTGGTACCCAAAACCCATACATATATGCACAGTCCCCTGTTTTGGACTAGAGATCTCTCAATAGCAATGGGCTCAAACGCCTACCTTTCTGAACACCAGGACACTGTCAAGGGTGACGTGAAAACGCCCAATGGCATTGCTAATCGACATCACTCCAAACGTCAGCTCTGGGAAATCTTTGATCACATCATAGAACAACTCTGCTACTTCTTCTTCTAAATCCTGTTTGGGGAAGGATGATGGTAAGGTGTTAGTAGAAATGCAAGATGCTGGTTCACGTAAGGTCAAGGTGGAAGTTGTGAACAATTTGTCTCCTTACCTTTCCAACTTTTGAGATTTTGCTGAGTCACCTCAATCCCATTTTATGGAGGTATCATGCCCAGAATACTGTTATGGCCATGACTAAGGCCAGAATAGGCAAATTCATAGATGATGGAAAGAGCTGATAGCATAGACCTTCCCCACATATTAGAGGGCTTGGGGCTTTGTAACATGTATTCCTGAATTGCTTTCAGAAGGAGCAATTGATTGGCCACATGTAGCATCAAATATAACTTTGGTATCAAGATATGGCTGTAGCTTCAGCTTCATTTTTTAGCTTAAAAATTTGGGGCCAAAAACACTGTCAAAAAGTGGGACAGGCGAGAGAGTAACTTTCCCCAGGGGTAGACTCAGTGCCAGGATTTTGACTTCACTGACAAGGGGAGGAGTCATCCAGGTTACAGGAAATGAGGTAAGATGTAAAGAAACCCATTCTCCAATTGGGGAAACAATTTGAAAATGATTGGTTATTCAATGCTATGCTAAATAGACCCCAAATGGTCAGTTATACTATCAAACCAACTCAGTCTCCTTTCTCCACCCCTGTCCACCTCCCTCATCAGCTTTGCCTACCCCGTTCAGCTTTCTTTTTTTCTCTCTTCATCTTAACCCTGCAGTTCCCCCAGAAAGCCAGTTCATTAGAAAATGAAGAATATAAATTAATCCAAGGAATTAACCTCTCCTCTCCCCCAGCCCCGCACGCCCCACTCCCCAGGCAGGACTCCTCTCCCACTGAAAAGCTACCCCACCTCTTGAGCTCAGTACCTGGAAGAAGCCAATGATCACCAAGGGCCTGGCTTTCACAAACTCTGCCACCTGGTGGATGTCAGTGAACAGAAACACTTTCTCGCTAATTTGTCTTCTCAACCAAACGACCAAGGCAGCAGACTCAACCACTCCTGGAGAGAGACAGACACGTGGGCCCCACGGTTCCCCGGGAACTGTGTAGCAAGCCTGTTCCCAAGTTGAACGTGCCTGGCTCCAACTGGGTACCCAAGAAGTCACTTAGGGTGAGTTTGGTGAAGAATCTTATCAGCTGGATCTAGGGAACTTGACCTTGGGCCACCCTCTATGGCAGTGGCTCTCAGCTTCCTAATGCCATGACCCTTTAACACAGCTCCTCATGTGGTGGTGACCCCAACCATAAAACTATTTCCTTCCTACTTCATAACTGTAATTTTGCTGCTGTTATGAATCGTAATTTAAATATTTGTGTTTTCTGATGGTCTTCGGCTCTACAGCAGCGGTTCTCAGCCTGTGATCTCAACCTAAGACGGTCAGAAAACATAGATATTTGCATTATGATTCATAACAGCAGCAAAATTACAGTTATGAAGTAGCAACGAAATAGTTTTATGGTTGGGGTCACCACCACATGAGGAACTGTATTAAAGGGCTGCGGCATTAGGAAGGCTGAGAACCGCTGCTCTATAGGATCCGTGAACTCCTTTTGCCCCTCTGACCCCATGGGACTGAGGTAGCTCTGAACTTGGCAGTAGCTCCTCCCACTGGGCAGGTGTGTCCTGGCGCTCCGGTCTGAGGAGAGGACACAGTGCCGCCCAAGGGATGCCGGCTGGTGCCTGGCTGGCCCCCTGTGCGTGCATCCCTCGCAGGTATCGAAGGCACCTGTGTCTGCTCCCTCAAAAACAGCCAAGGCCCAGTCCCGCCCCAGCCTTGAGGTGCTGGACCTGTGGTCCGGGGCTCTGCCCCAACAAGACTAAGCCCACCTGCCTCCCCCAGAGTCTTACAAAAGTCACGCTGTCAACCTTATCAGCTCAGGGAGCCTGCCAGTCAGCAGAAGTGGTGCCCACTCTGTCCTGCTGAGGACATGAGACACCAAAAGGCCGGGCCAGTTCTCATGGCCATTGAGCAGCATACCATCCGGGCCCTCACCTTCCCTCCGCACCCACGCCGTTTCCCCTGGTGGGGACTCTGAGGAAGAGGGGGTAGGAAAACCCCTGGCCCGCCTCCTGGACAGCCCTGCAACTCTTCCCACTAGAACCCTAAACCTGCCCCTTAGGAACCTAAGCCTCCCAGGCCCTGCCGTGGGGCCAGGAAAGCAGTGATTTGAGAAGAGGAACCCTCCTGCCGCTCACTCAGAGCAGCACAGCAGGAGCAGGCCAGCCAGCCTCAGCTCCATCTGGCCACCAACTGATTTCATAAGAAAAGTTTTATCCACACTCCGCCACACCCACCTGCTTACACAGGGCTGCTGGCCCGTGGCATCCACAGACTTAAGCAGCTGTGACAGGGATCACCTGGCCTGAAGGCTTAAAATACTGACTATTGAGGCTCCTCCCACCTGCCCCCTGGGCCTGTGGGGCAAGGCCTCAGGTAACACCTTTAGAGCTGTGACCGGCATGAGCCACACTGAGCACACAATTCCTCGAGCATTTCCATATCCAGAGGGGGAGCCAGCAACTGGGTCAGTGGCTGACATGGGTGATGACAAAAGAGTCAGAGCCAGCCTGTCCCCAGCCTGTCTGGTTCCATCACCTCTCAGCTTCCCCTGGCAGCCAGTGCTTCCTTGGCCTGGGACCAGGTTTAAACTAAAAAGGTTCCAGAGTGAAGATTGGGGGCGGGGTCCAGTGGAGTTAGGAATTTACTCTCTGACCTCTGATAATTTATAAATCATGCACCTCACTATCCCAGCTCATGTGCTTTTCTAGAACCTGCCAGCTGACATGCAAACTGTAGAGAATGTAGCTACAAGCTCAATGAACATGTCTTTTCCTCCGCACACATGCTCTGCATGTCAGCAGGTGGAGTCCTGGAGCAGAATTTGGTCAGCAGAAGGAGAAGAGAAGTGATTTGCCACCGGCAGACCAGGGCCATGACCACCTCCAGCAGCCCCCATGTGGCCTGCCCGTCACTGGGGGACACGGAGGAGACAGACGAGCCACCGCTGGGAGGAGGCTGGTCTGTGGACGGTGGTGAGGAGCGAGCCCCCTCTCCACTCTGGCTGCTAACTGAGTTTCTCGGGAGCAGTAACTAGTCTGTGACTCTGTTAAGCCCCCGGGATGCTGGTGTGTGTGTGTCCACTGCTGCCGCTGCCGCTGCCGCGCCGACCGGAGCACCGTTACCTTTGCAGCTGATGGGTGCCAGCCTGTTGCCTTCAAAAAACAGCTTCAACTCCGGGGGCTTCTGAACACCGAACTCCTGGCGCAGCTCCTTCTCCACCGTGACGTCCACTTTGCCAAAGCCGAGCCCGTTCTTGCCCTTGCCCATAATCTCCACGGCTCTGCCCAGCTCTGTGGCAAGGTTCCTGGACCGCTTGGAGGACGGGTCATCTGAAAGAGCGGGCGAGGGGGGCCCGCTGAGCCCTGGGCTGCCTCCCTGGGGAGAGCCGTCCGGCGTGCCCGGCCTGTCTCACCCTCTGCTGGTGCCAGGCCAGCCTCAGAGGTGGCCCACGTGGGCCAGTTTGGAAGACACGAATCAGGTGTTGGGGGAGGGGCTTTCGGTCTCCCTGGCAACGATGCGGCTTTGGGTGATTTACTCTGCGAACCCACCTTCCTCACAGGAAAGTGGGAAACAGTGGCTGCCTCCTGGGGTTGTCACACCAACGAGTTCACTGAACAGTCGGTGAGAAGCGCCTAAGAGCTTACGTGGGTTACGCCACTAATCCTCCCAGGGCCCTGTGGGTACGTCTTCTTATCTCAATGTGCAGAGGAGGAAACTGATGGCAACAAAATGACCCATTTGCCCAGGGCCACGTGGCAGCGTGGAGCCAGGATCAGCACCCATGCGGAGGCTCTCTAACCCCCACCAGCCTGCCAAACCCTCAGCACATGCTGTTATTGTGTGTTAATATAGTAATAATATACAGTTACATATAAATTCAACATGCACTGTATGTGTGTATATATACATACATCATACATAAAATAAGTTTTAACATATTACATATTATATTATACACTAGAGGCCTGGTGCATGAAATTTGTGCACAGGGGAAGGGGTGCCCCTCAGCCCAGCCTGCACTCTCTCCAATCTGGGACCCCTCAAGGGATGTCTGACTGCCTGTTTAGGCCCAATCCCGGTGCTAAACGATAGGTAGGATATCCATCTCACAATCCAGGACTGTTGGCTCCCAACTCCTTGCCTGCCTGCCTTCCTGATTGCCCCTAATCTCTTGTGCCTACCAGCCTGATTACTCCCTAACCATTCCCCTACCAGCCTGATTGATGCCTAAACATTCTCCTGCCAGCCTGATTGATCCCCTGCCTCTATGTTGTATAGCTAAAGCTATTATAATATAACATTGTATGCTAATTATCTATACTAATAAAATGGTAATACTCTAATTAGAGTGGATTGTCTTCCGGACAACCTTCCGGACAAAACCATGATGGTGGGACTCAGGCAGAGGTGGTTGGGGCAATCAGGCTAACAGGGGAGAGCAGTTAGGGGGATCAGGCCAGCAGGCAGGTGAACAGTTAAGGAGCCAGCAGTCCTGGATTGTAAGAGGAATGTCCAACTGTGAGATTAGGCCTAAAATGGCAGTTGGCCTTCCCTTGAGGGATCCCGGATTGGAGAAGGTGCAAGCCGGGCTGAGGAGGCCCAACCATGCATGAATTTCATACACCAGACTTCTAGCATTGTATTAAAATTTTAAATTAAAAAATTCCTGGCTGGGCCAAGGGTGGGAAAAGTCCTGGCCATCACACCTGGGCCCTCACTCTGCTGGTCCCTCACACTGCTGGGCCCTCACACCTGAGTCCTCACACCTGAGTCCTCACACCTGGGCCCTCACACTGCTGGGCCCTCACACCTGACTCCTCATGCCTGAGTCCTCACACCTGGGCCCTCACACCTGGGCCCTCACACCTGAGTCCTCACACCTGGGCCCTCACACTGCTGGGCCCTCACACCTGAGTCCTCACACCTGGGCCCTCACACTGCTGGGCCCTCACACCTGAGTCCTCACACCTGGGCCCTCACACCTGGACCCTCAAACCTGGACCCTCACACCTGGGCCCTCACACCTGGACCCTCACACCTGGACCCTCAAACCTGACCCTCACACCCGTGCCCTCACACCTGAACCCTCACACCTGGGCCCTCACACCTGGACCCTCACACCTGACCCTCACATCTGGGCCCTCAAACCTGACCCTCACACCTGGGCCCTCACACCTGGGCCCTCACACCTGGGCCCTCACACCTGGGCCTTCACACTTTGGTCTTCACACCTGAGTCCTCACACCTGGGCCCTCACGGCCTGTTGTCTGGGCAGGGAGTGGAGCCAGGGAAGTGGGCCTTTGGCTTCTTTTTAAGTCCGAACCTTTATCTTTTTCCAGCATCCTTGTCCATCTGGGGCACTTGGAGAACAGGAACCACCCCACTGCCACAGACAGGTTTCAAGTTCTATAGAGAAGTCTTTGTGAAGCAAGACAAGAAAGCCAGCCCGGGCAGCAGGCACCGGCCCTGCCAGCCCTCTGCTGGCCAGGAAGTGAGTGGTCCTTTTCACCAAATACCCTGTCAGCGAGTGAGTCGGGCTTTCCCCCACAGAGGATACCTGTCCCCCTGCCTTGGCCATCAGTGCTTTCAGTGCCCTCCCTCAGCACCAGCCAGGCTGCCGCCCTGCCCGCTGGGCTCTCCTGCTGCCTCCCAGAGCGGTGGGCCTGGGCCGGCCTGTGGCTGACAGCCTGCAAACCTGGGCTTCTAAGGGAGCAGCTCCATGCAAGAGAAGCATCGGGAGTGGCTGTCCACGGGGCGGGCTTTCACAGCTCCACACCAGCTCAGGCTCCCACATCAAAGGGAGGGAACATTGTGATAGCCAGGAGCTGACAGCCAACGGCAGAGACCTGCCTGTAACAGTGATGGGGTTTCATTCATTCATCCACCCAGCAAGCCAGACACTCACCCACCCACCCAGCCATTCACCCAGCCAGCCATTCACCCATCCACCCACCCAGCCATGCACCAGCCATCCACACACCACCCAGCCATCCACCCACTCAGACACTCACTTAACCCACCCAGCCATCCACCAGCCATCCACCCACCATCCAGCCATCCACCCACCCAGACATTCACCCATCCACCCAGCCATCCACCCACCCAGACATTCCACCACCCAGACACTCACCCACCCACTCACCCATCCACCCAGCCATCCCCACCACCACCCAGCCATCCATCCACCAATCTACCCAGCCACCAGGCCACCCAGCCAGCCAGCCACCCATCCATTCATCCACACATCCACCTATCCAGCCATCCACCCAGCCAGCCATCCACCCAGCCATCCATCCACCCAGACACTCACCCACCCACTCACCCACCCAGACACTCACCCATCCACCCAGCCAGCCAGGCACCCACCAATCCATCCAGCCACCAAGCCATCCACCCATCCATCCATCCATCCACCAACCCACCCAGCCATCCACCCTGCCACCAAGCCATCAACCCATCCACTCACCCATCCCATCCTGCCACAAAGCCTTTCACCCACCCACCCATCCATCCACCCAGCAACCCAGCCATCCACCTAGCCACCCAGCCACCCACCCAGACATCCACCCACCCAGAAATCCACCCAGCCCCCAGCCACCCACCCACCCAGCCATCCAACCAGCCACAGGAGCCCTGCTGGGACCTAGCCAGCTGGCAAACACAAGATCCTATGTTAGGATCTGCCTGAGCTGGGCACTGCTGTAGGTGCTGGGATTGACAGTGAACAGGTGGAAACCCCGCTCTCATTGGAGAAGACAGATCACAAACAAAAGAAAGAAGTGGGCCAATTCTGGTCAGATGCCAATGCCAGGGAGAAAGCCCACCAGTGCTAAGGACATGGAGGGTCGGGGGACTGGGTTTGAGCAAGGAGGCCGAGCAGGGACATTTCCTAAAACTGAAGACGGTGAGAGCAGGCCATGTGACATGTGAAAGGAGTGTGCAGGCAGAGGAACAGGAGGCACAAAGCCCTGAGATAGGGCCTTGCAGGCCACTGCACAGACCGGTCTTTCCCTGAGGGTGGTGGAAGGTATGGAGGGTGAGAGGCTGGTGAGATGTGACCTGACTTACTTTGTCCTGGGTTCTCTGAATGCTCTACGGAGATTAAATCAGAGGGAAGGAGTGACCAGGGGAGCCTGACAGCCCTGACAGCCCGGGGAGGCGGTGGGGGCTGGAGCCTGAGGTGCTGCGGGGGGCTGCTGCGCTGAGCCAAAACCAGATCTGGGTGGGAGTGGGAGAGGAACCAGGGACTCTCAGGTCGCTGGCCCGGCCACCAGGAGAAGGCCGGTGGTGAGGATGTCAAGGTGAGATGAACACACACGTCCCTCAGGCCCCAGAACTTGTGGCCGTGCCCTGGCCGGCTGGACGCGCTGGTGTGACCAGGCTTGGCGATGCCGGGATGGACGCTGTGTGCAGCGGGCCTGACAGGCTGCGCATAGTCAGAGCCTCCGCTGGAGGCACAGCCTCCTCAGGTCCTGAGGGCCACCTTGTCCAGCCTGGCACATGTCGGGCGCTCACTGAACTCAAACGCCTTAGGTTCCCCCATGAAACAGTCACTTGGCATGTGGTACTTGAGGCCCAGTAAGATGTTTTTAGAACATGGCTGTGCCTTGATTTCTTTGCCTGTACAAGGAGAAGTTAGTGGGTCCTGCCCCTGAGGAGGGTCCTACATGGAAGCAAAGCGCCGACACCGGAGTGCCAGCCACTGGAACCACTGTGGTGACCTGGCTGGCCAACCTTCGGCCTAGCTCTGACAGGTCCCCTCTGGACGGGTCCCATGGAGATGTCTGGATCCCAGCAGACCACGGTTCCTGCGCGAGGGAAGGCGGTGGCAGCATTGTCACCCACCCCAGGCTGCGACCCGCCCGTGGCTGGCGCTGGGCGTGGGGCGAGCGTGCGAACAGGCTGTGCTCTGCCGCAGAACGCTGACGTGGCCGTGGCAATGGCCGAGAGCCAGTGTTTGCTGCCTTTAGCAGAGAGTCCGCCCACTGTGAACCCCAGAGCGAGCGGGGAGGGCTGGAGTTAGCCCCTGAGGAAGGGGAGCACCTCCTCACACGGGTGGACATGTCCGGGGCATCTCTGCTCTCAAGCTGGCGTGTGTGCCTCTAGCGGAGACACAGGCACTGCCCACCGCGCGCGGCTGGGAGTGGTCCCAGCAGGGCCCCTGTTGCTGAGGGTGGGAAGCCCATGTCAGACCAGGCTCCCACTCACGCAGGAGGCAGTGTTCTGAGGATGACCCATCTGCCACTCTGAGGGCAGTTCACAGTGTCCAGATGCTCCCATGGGTGGGCCTTCCGTGGGCATCAACCCTTCAGCCCTCGGGGCCGTCCAGCAAAGCCCTCGCCCTCGCCCTCGTCCTCGCCACGGCCTGGGCTCCATCGCCACGGCCTGGGCTCCATCGCCACGGCCTGGGCTCCATCGCCACGGCCTGGGCTCCATCGCCACGGCCTGGGCTCCATCGCCACGGCCTGGGCTCCGCTGCTCCCCGTAAGCAGCGCCCCAGGGCTTCTCCTCAGCCACAGCAGCACGTGGCTCCTTGGCCTCGGCCTTTGCTGGTTCTGCCGCCGGAAAGCTGTTCGCCTGGATCTGGCCTGGGCTGCTGCCTGCCTGCCCCAGGCCCCAGCTGAGTGGTCCCCTCAGGAAGACCCTCCCTCCTCTCCGCCTCCCCCATGGAGCCCCGGCCAGGAGGAAGGCTGCCCAAATGCAGATGCATGGCACTCTCCTCTGGGGTGGGGATGAGGTTACATACACATGGTTTTCTAACGTTAGTGACATGCGTTCTCGTGTGTAGCAATACATAAACTCCTCTGTCCTCCCCATCGCCCCGCCCCGGGATGGCACTCACAGAAAAGCACCAGGAGGAAGCGGGTCTGGTTGAGCACCTGGGCCAGGCCTGCAGCTGTCAGCACCATCAGGTGACCCTCCTGCGGGATGTGCAGGGGCTGCGGCATGGCGTCCTCGTCCACGTCCTCACCGTCCTCCTCCGGCCAGGTCCACACCGTCGACATGCAGGCGCCCACCAGCAGCAGGGCACCCCAGGGCAGCGCCATGGGCCTGCAAGCAAGCCAGGCCCTCAGCAACGCGGGGTCGGGCTGGCGCGCATCACGCTCCCCCTCCTTCCCTGCAGTGTCCCGAGGACGTGGCTGAGCATAGCCACTATCTCCCCAGCGTTGCCCGCCACTGGCAGTGCCTGGAGGAGGGCTGCACAGCGGATAGCCCAGGGCCTGGCTCAGGAGCACTCAGAGCCCAGGCCCACTCAGGGCAGTGGGAAGCCAAACCCCAGGCCCGCAGCTGAGCCCACGCTCACCAGCCACTAAGCAAGTCACCAAGCGATGAGTCCTCCGAGGCTCCGGCTCTCAGAGATGGCGGGTGCATCCCACCACAGCCCCTGCCTCCCGCTCCCCCACTCCTCCACTCCTGCCTGAACGCCCATCACAGCAAGCTCACCACCACCATGGCCCCGTTTTACTTCTGAACAAAGGTTTTCCCCAAGAGCAATGAGGTCTTTTAAAAGCCATGACTAGAGTCCATGCTTGTAAAATGCCAACCAATACAATACAAACATGAAAAGTAGAAAATAAAAACCGTTCCCATGACCCCCTCCTCAAAGGCTGCTGTGAAGTCTGGAATAAATCCTTGCGGGTGGGGAGCCCCTACAGACTCAGACATGCATGTTGCGTGGTGTTCCGATATCTCACTCCCTAACACGAAGTATGTTCTAAGCGTCTTCCCTTAACAGCACATACTAGATCTGTAACATGGCTCCCTTTTCTCTTTTTCTCTTGGGTTTTTGTTGTTTGTTTGTTTGTTTGTTTGGCAGAAGCTCCTGTCTCCATAACAACCTATGTCTCCCTAACACTCAGAGGCGGCTCAAGGAGCACAACCAGAGGGAACAGAGCCAGACATCACAGGCAGCAGCCACGTCTCCTGCCCTGGCGTGGCCAGCTGGGGGCCAGGCCCGGAAGGGCATCCGTCCCTGAGACCCCCCTGCGAGCCCCCGCTGCCTCTGGGGGCACCAAAGCCCGCAGGACAAAGGGCCCGTTCTCCTCTCCCTTTGGCCTCTGTAACTGTTTCCGATTCCACACGGCCCGGCTGCCCCTCTTCTCCCTGTGATTTCTCTAAAAATGCTGTTTTATTGACTTAGCAGAGAGAGGAAGTGGGGGAGAGACATCCATGTGAGAGAAACATGGATTGGCATGTGCCTGACGGAACCCAGCCGTGGTTCACACCGTGACCTCCAGGCACAGGGCGATGCCCAGCCAGCTGAGCCGCCCCCGGGCTTTCTGATAAACTTTCCTTGTGGCTGAGCCCTGGATCTGAGTCCTTCTTTAGCCAAACTCACGGGCCAAGGCCTACCCTCTGGTGCCGTCTGCCTTCACCTGCCGGGAGCCGCCCGGGGCTCCCCGCACAGGCCTGGACAGCCCGGGCTGCTGAGCAGCTCCTGGACAGGGGCAGAGGTGGCCAGGAAAACCCGGGGGCTCCTAGTGTCCCTTTTACCAGAGACCACGCAGTTGGGGGAGCCCCCAGGCAGACACCTGCCAACTCCAGCACCATCTCACTCACTCATCCACGCATTTGTCCATTTGTTCCCTCGTCAAGTATTTCATTATCTCTTCATACATGGGAGGTCCCGCTCCCAGCACTGGGATTGCAGGAGCGAACCACATAGACGCATTCTATGCTTGGAGCCTGGGGTCTAGGATGGGAAACAGCGATGAGAGAGAGAGAGAGAGAGAGAGAGAGAGAGAGAGAGAGAGAGAGAGAGAACACACTCGGTGTGCAGATTCGGAGGAGTGCTGAGAACCAACGAAGCAGGAGGTTGGAAAGTGACAGGTGAGGGTGACTGGGGACTTTTTAAAAATCCTCCCTCGCGGCTGTGCTCGTTGATTTGACTGGGGCAAGAGGGGGAGATAGAGAGGGAAGGAGAGCAGGGAGAGGGAGGGAGGGAGGGAGAGAGAGGAAGAGAAAGAGGGAGAGAAGGGAAGAGAGAGGAGGCGGGAGGGAGGGAGGAAGGGGGAGGAAGAGAGAGAGGGAGGGAGGGAGGGGGAGGAAGAGAGAGAGGGAGGGAGGGGGAGGCATCGACATGGCAGGAAACATTGACCGGCGCCCCCTGCAGGCACCGACCAAGCTCACACCCGCCAGTTCAGAGCGCCATCCACCAGTGAGCAGGGGCCAGAGCGGGTGTGACAGGGACACGGAAAGGCTTGCCCCGGAGCCAGCAGGTGTCAGAGCAGCGAATGCGGGCACCATCGTGTCCCTATCGCAAAGACGTCTCCTCTCCTCGCTCTCCTGAGGCTGCAGCTCCCCCAGCCTGGCCTCCCTCAGGGTTCCCACCACTCTGGATGCCCTCCAGCTCTCCCACACCCACACCCACCCCCCCGGGCCCTCCCCACACCTGCCTGTGCCCCCAGCCCAGCCCTGCGTGAGGCTCTGGAGGAGCCTAAAGGTGCTGCTGCTGACACCAGCCCGCATTCACACCCAGGGAGAACGGGGGGCGATGCTCAGCCCTCGGAGCTGAAGCCTGTGTCCTCGCAGGGCCCGTCCTCACTCTGCCCTCCGCACACCTCCTGTACCTGGAGAGCCTGGTCTGTGGGGGCTGAGGCCAACGCAGCTCCTTGTCCCGCACCAGTCGGCTGGGCTCTGAGACCTGGAGGCAGAAAGAGGTCCCTCCTGGACACCGAGACCACACAGCTCACAGCCTCACAGCTCACAGCCTCACAGCCTCACAGCCGTGTTCTGAGCTCGGTTCTGAGCTCAGTTCTGAGCTCGGGTTCTGGGAGGGTGGGGGGAAGAATGGCCATTGTTGAGTAAGAGGACCCTGCCTGTGCTGCTGGCAGGAGTGGTCCTGGAGGTGGGGGAGGGAGAGGGAGCTGGGGGCGCCTCCTCCTCTCTGGTCTGAAATGGGCGTGGCACAGAAGACCCTGAATTTGGTGCCTGGAGGTTGGACGCTGACTCCTGAGCAGCGCTGTGACCTGGGGTGTTACTGGGCTTTTCCAAGGCTCAGTCTCGTCCCCAGAAAATGATGCACAGCCCCCAGGTGCTGTCGGGGTCACAGGAGGTGCCTGGGACCTGGACGGCAGGAAGCAGGCCCGCCTCAGGCCGGCCCTCCTCCAGCCCTGCCAGTCCTCTGCTGGACCCACACCAGGCAACCTGAGCTCCGCAGCGCCCTCTGCGGGCGGCTCTGCGCCCGTGTGCTGGCTCCTCTCCAGGAGGCTCTCAGCCAGGCCTCCCCTACCCCCCCAACCCCCACATCCCCAGTCTGTCTAGACGCCTCTCTCCCCACAGCACCACCGCCTCCGCCTCCCAGCTCACCCTCCTGCTGGAGGAGAAAGGATGAAAGGCAGTTGTCATTACTGCCTGCGCCTGCGGCCTGTCCGAGCTGCCCGCAGGGGGCGGTGCACTAAGCGGAGCCCGGAGGCAGGGCGTGCTCATTCCTGATGGCAGGAACTGTCGCCACCGTCACACACCTCAAGCATGCACAGCCTGGCTTGTCAGTCTTACTTCAACAAAACTGGAAAAATACAAATGTCTTTTAAAAATACAGTTTGGCTCAGTGGATAGAGCATCAGCCTGCAAGCCAAAGGGTCCCGGGTTTGACTCAGTCAAGGGAACATTTCTCGGATACAGGTCCTCCTTGGCCCAGGCCCTGGCTGAGGCGCATGTAGGAGGCAGCTAATCGATGTGTCTCTCTCAGCAATATTTCTGTCTTTCCCTCTCCCTCCCACTCTCTCTAAAAATCAAGGGGAAAATATCTCCAGGTGAGGATTACAGAAAAAATATACACAGATTGGAGGCCCGATGCATAAAATCCATGTGAGAGCGGGCCTGCCTCCCCGCTGCGGGCACGCTTCCCTCGGCACCGGCTCTTCAGGAAGGCCGTCGTCTGATCAGCATGTCGCGCTTTTATTGTTGCAGACTGAATGTTAGGAAGTGACCGAGGTGAAGAAGGAAGGTCCAGCACAGAACAAGGCTAGTGGTGTGAGTGGGGGGGGGGGGGGGTCCGGCGGGTTAGGGGGAACTGGGAGGCCCTGCAGGGCCGAGGGCAGGAGCAGTGAATCCGCAGGGAATGTTCCGGAGAAACCACGGGCACCAGGACGGCGGCACGGCTAGGCGGCTGGGGCTCCGCAGAGCTGTTAATGTTCGTGGACTTTGCAGCCAAAGGTTAAGCTTCGGCAGCTTGAACCTGGCCGCTGGCAATATTTAATCCAAGGCCCTAACACACACTTCAGGACAGCGCTGTCCCCAGAGCGCCGGCTGACCGCAGCCCGGCCGCAGGCCAGGTGACCACATGGCTGCTCACACAGCTGCTGCTGCGGCTGCTACTGCTGGTGGTGGTGCTGGTGCTGCTGCTGGTGGTGGTGGTGCTGGTGGTGGTGCTGGTGCTGCTGGTGGTGGTGGTGGTGCTGATGGTGGTGGTAGTGCTGGTGCTGGTGGAGGAGGTGGAGGAGGTGGTGCTGGTACTGGTCCTGGTGGAGGTGGTGGTCCTGGTGGAGGTGGTGGTGGTGGTGGAGGTGGTGGAGGTGGAGGTGGTGGAGTTGGTGGTGGTGGTGTTGGTGGTGGTGGTGGTGGTGGTGTTGGTGGTGGTGGTGGTGGTGGTGGTGGTGGAGGTGGTGGTGGTGGAGGTGGTGGTGGTGGAGGTGGAGGTGGAGGTGGAGGTGGTGGAGGTGGAGGTGGAGGTGGAGGTGGAGGTGGAGGTGGAGGTGGAGGTGGTGGTGGAGGTGGAGGTGGTGGTGGAGGTGGACGTGGTGGTGGTGGTGGTGGTGGAGGTGGAGGTGGAGGCGGTGGAGGTGGTGGTGGAGGTGGTGGTGGAGGTGGAGGTGGTGGAGGTGGTGGAGGTGGAGGTGGAGGTGGAGGTGGAGGTGGTGGAGGTGGAGGTGGTGGAGGTGGAGGTGGAGGTGGAGGTGGAGGTGGAGGTGGAGGTGGTGGAGGTGGAGGTGGAGGTGGAGGTGGAGGTGGAGGTGGTGGTGGTGGTGGTGGAGGTGGAGGTGGAGGTGGAGGTGGTGGTGGTGGTGGTGTTGGTGGTGTTGGTGGTGGAGGTGGTGGAGGTGGT